TGCGTTGGCGTCATGAAGAGAAGAAACTGCTTTATATATTTTGATATCATCCGCGAATACTTTACAGACTACATCTAAATTGTCGACCAGTTGAGGAACCTCATACGTGTAAATGCTGAACAGAATGGGTGATACCAATCCTTGAGGAACCCCGCAAGGAGCTGCTCTTGCCGAAGAAAAGCTATCGTTAATGCGGACTTGAAGTGAGCGTCCTTCAAGAACTCGCCCAGCCACCTTACTATTCTTCTATGCACACCAATGTGCGTGAGCTTCATGAGTAATTTCGCATGAGATACCCTATCAAAAGCCTTAGAAAAATCGAAATATTTTGCATCTACCCCTTCATTATTATCCAAGTGCAGCATACAATCATTTATGATTTCGAGCATCTGGGATACAGTAGAACGGTCTTTTCGAAATCCATGTTGGCTATCGGGTAAAATATTATTCTGCTACAGATGTCCCACAAGAGGCCTGCTTAAAATCTTCTCAAATACTCGGCAAAAAATTGATGATATACAGAAAGGCCTGTAGTTCCTGGAATCAGAATGTGGTCCCTTTTTAGGTATAGGCGTTACAAAAACATGCTTCCATCTATTAGGAATTTCTGCCCTGAAAAAACTCAAGTTAAATATATGTCGTAAAGGATTGACGATAGAGGGAATAATTTCTTTAATGAATCTAAAGGGAATACCATCCGGAGTCATAGAGGATCCCGTTTTGTGCCTGGACAGTACCATCGAGATATCCTGCTCATGGAAAACAGTCATCGCTGGAAAAGATCCTGCCAAACGTATATTCTCATCACTGACGCTTACGCGATTCACAAAAACCTCAAATCTATCTGCCAAAAGTTCCGCTTTCCCTGAATCTGATGCCACTGTGGTACCATCAGGTTTAGTTAAAACGACAAGTTTTTCCTTTGCTTTGATTTTGGAATTTATAAACTTATACAAGCCCCTACTGCTACCGCCTTTTATGATTTTCTTCTCCACACGACAGTTATACTTATCGTGTTTAATTTCCTATGTAAATCCCAGTCGTCAGAATTGTTACTAATTGAAGCTTGCTGATATGCCTTAAGTCTCCTATCATATGTAGAATGAAGATACGAAGGAATATTAACCCTAGAAATATTGACTTTACGTATGGGAACATGTTTGACGACACAATAATTGAGTACGTGCAAAAACATCTCGTACATCTCATTGACGCTTAAAGTTTGGAAGGACCCAATCCAATCAATACTATCAAGATAAGAACGAATAAGACTGTAGTGAGCTTTAACGTAGTTCCTCTTCCATGTGTATTGATTCTTTTCCAAGGATAACTGTATTGAAAAATTGACGCAAGCATGATCACTAGTTCCGAGAGGAGCCTCAACTTTTACTCTCCTATCAAGGAATTGTTCATTACAAAATAACAAATCTAGAATGCTGGACCCTCTGGTTCCTGAATGGACATACTGCACGTAATTAATACTTTTTGCCATGTTTACAAAACCCCTTGATATAGATGAGCCATATTCTAAAGCGTACGGCCAATTTATATCAGGGAAATTGAAGTCTCCCATAAGAATAGAAGCGCATGGACAATCAGAAAGATCACTTATGCACTTGATCATTTGTGTACTAGTTTCATTAGAGCAACTAGGGGCGCGATAGCACAGAATAATTCTACAGTTAACCCCGTTCGCATGAAGATTGCATGCTATTATTTCATAACCATTAGGCATAGCTCCGCTAAATAAGTACGCAGGAGAAAGTGCACTCTTCATAAGCAATGCAACACCACCTCCTTTCTTCCTGTTGCGGTCACAGCGGAAGATTCCGTATTTATCACAAGTATCACCTAACAAGGGCCGAATCTCAATCGCTGATTTAAGCCAAGTTTCTGTCAATGCCACGACTCCATAATCCTCCCTGGACAACAAATATTTGAGGTCCAGAGCATTTTAATATTGAGCGAATATTAGTAAGAAGGCATCTCACACCGTTATCCTGAATCCGAGGAGTCAATTGGATTTTACTGGCAAGGAATTGTTACATGCTCTATCACCAACATCAACAACATTATGATTCTGAGATTGCACAAGTTCACGGTCAGCACTGTTGCCAATTGTAGCAGGTGGTGAACTAACGGCAATGTTCTGGGAAACATTGGCTCTAGTTCTCCTGAGTTCAGCGAGCCGAACCCTTTCCGGTTTCGATAATGAACGCCTTATAAAGACACCAGAAGTCGAGAAAAATCTAAGTTCCGGTGCCTTTTTAAGCAGGTCATACACAAAAAAACGACTTGGTAACACAACCTTCAATAATCTAGGCACACCTCCGTTGGGTTTCCTAAGCGATATATGGCTGTCGGCACACATTCTATGTCCAAGAAATGAAATACACTTCTTACACAATCGATATCATAGTGAACCCTATTTGCAGCACGAACATCATTAGACTGAAATTCCAGCAATAACCATAGATCTAGGGCGTTCCCTTTCTTCACAGCAATTCGTAGGAACTACTTTATCAATGTTATTCGAACTTAAACTCCTACTATTAAGGGCACCTTTCATCGATTCAATTTCTTTCAAAAGCCTATTCTTCTCCGCTATTTCACTTTTAAGCTGATCCTCCAACTCGCGGTTTCTTTTCGGCAATTCATTGACCTGGCTGGAGTTCTCCAAGAGGTGCCCCAAAACGGTTTTCAAATAGACCGGGAGCCTGTTGTCCTTGGTCAATAGATCAACGGCATTGGATAGAGACCCATCCATCGGGGCAGCATCGGGGCAGGAGATCCATGATGAAAACGTTTAGCAGGGCGTTCCTGAATACCACGACCAACAGGAGAAGTTAACTGAATATCCATTTCTGTCAAGGAATTTGAATTACCGGATGCGGTGGCAATTGAATGAGTATATTCCCTGCCACTAGGAATAGGATTTGGTTTTGACCAGTATCGATTGTACATCCACTAGCCGCCACCACGATGGATCAATTCGAAATAGTAGCAGTTAGTGGAGCAGCCAGTTAAAAGTAGGATGAGCCGAATACATCGGAATTCGAAGAATGAAATACTAGCCGATATCCGTTTAAGTCAGACTTCTAGGATATCTTGAATATCTCGAATAACAGGAAGGGTAGGTGTCGCGATCAATCGCGACCAATTGCGACTATGTATGCATTCTTGTCATGTCAAGATGGAGATTCCCTTTGCTGTAATGTTTTCGGTGTATTTAAACACTCTGAGAACATCTCAGGGCGCATCTTGTGCTCTGTGGTTAGGATAAAGTGGTGAGTTAAGAAAGGTGTTGCTGAACCACCGAGAACAGTTTGGTGCATCGTGCCAAATACTGTTCTTAGTCACAAAAAAAATCTGGTTCGTGAACCAGTAAATCAGCCTATCTGATCCAAGTGGCCCGCTGAGGTCCTCATCGAGAAGAAACGATGGAATCTATTCTATACGGAGAACCCATCTCAAATGGCGTAATCACGCTTATAGAAAATTTCAAAGAGTACACGAAACCGCCGCAGCCTGCGCAAGACGACGAAGAACAATACGAGCAAACGCTGCAGGCCATAGATCTCATAAAGGCTAGTATATCGCAAATCAATTCGACCAAAAATGAATTGCTGTCGTTAGTCGAAAAAAATGAAAAGTGACTACGACACTACCAAAAGCAAGGACGACAAGAAAAACATCCTGCAGGAACTGGAAAAGGTAGAAGAAGAGGTCAAATACACTGCGGTGTTGAATGATGCGACGGAAATGATTCTCATGCTAAATACCAGACTCACTGAAGCGGGCAGCAATGAGCGAAGACTTGCACGAAAACTTGGAACAGTTTTTCAATCGTAAGGCCCTCCTTTCCGAAATCGGAATGAATCTCAGAGATACTCGTCAAACCGAGCAGAAGTGGATGACGCTATACCGCTATGCGATCGCGCTCCGAGCGGGATTTCCACCATTCTTGGAGTGAAATACGACAAAAATTCAGACCAGTTCGGAATATGCCTCAAGTTTGTGGAGAAAGACAAACTGACAAAAAGAGACGTAGTCAGCC